CTGAATTTTGATGTAGTGCTTTCAGAAGGATGTTCCTGTAATCTTAAACATTTTCCCATTTACTGTAGATGACCCACTTGTTTTCAGGTGCTCAAACATTTGTCATTACTTACTTGACAGTCATTAAGCAAAATATTATACAAGTGACTAGTATCTACCAGCCTATTCAGTGGCTTGAAGATGAGTTTTCCTTAGTTCTGATCTAAATAACTGAACTGGAATGTCACAAATTTCATCAGCAGGTGAAGTCTTTGCATTTATGGGTGAAATCTTCACATTTACTGCCATGGGCTGTATTTAGGTCAGGCCATAGTAGCACTATAACATGAAGGCAAAAACAGAAGCGTAAGGACCTCAAGTGCACCAATAATGGGGACGATGATAGAAGCGTATGAGGAAAAGATGGAAGTAGTTTTGTTTTAAACAATGAGAAAACAGATATAGAAAAGATTGCATGCACTCCAGTGTGAAATGTATACATTTCAGGGGGCTAAGGGTATGATGCCAAGTCAACAAGAATCTTTTCACGGATTCCAAGGGGCTTTAGGCTCTAAGGTATGTCTACACCTGACTCTGGCTCATGGGCTGAGGAGCTGTTTAATTGCAATGTTGATGGGTGGGCTTGGGCTGGAGTCCAGCCTCTAGGACCCTGCAAGGTGGGAGGGTTCCAGAGCTCAGGCTGTAGCCTGAGCCCAAACACGTACATGGCAGTTAAACAGACCGTTAGCCTGAGCCCATGTCAGCTGGCACAGACCAGCCATGGGTTTTTAATTGCAGTGTGTAGACATACCCGCTATGGCTTAAGGGGATCAGGCATGAGATATAGTGCTGCTCACCTCTAGGTTGCTCATTAAAATCCAGCCAGTTGAGTTTGTTGCAACCAGAAGCCATTATCATCTCACAACTGTATTGGCTTATGTGAAATAGGTTGATAGTCTCAGTCCAATTCCGAGTAACAGTATTTGCATCACACTGTCAAATACAATGGTCATTTTAACTGCACACTTGTTGTCAATCTCAACAGCATCCAAGGACTGATTGGATAGGGAGGCTGAACTACTCTGTCTAACCGAGGGGGAGAGTGCAGATTTACTCTGCCCATGGAAGCTTGCATTGCTGGTACTTTTGCTGCAGTTGTTCTACATGATAGAGGATTTCAGAACTGACATCATAAATGCATATTTAACTGGGGGGAAGGGGGGATTCTGTAATTGAATGTATTTCTTTCTACTTACCCTTACTGTGGGCATGCCCAACTTCCTGTTTGCTAATACCTCTAACATTGAAGTTATAGTTCTACAGGAGTCTTGGGCCCAACTGAACCACTACATGGAGTACAAAAAATGTCATTCATTCAGAGTTTGTGTGTGTCTGGTTGTGTGAGTCTTTCATTTCAAGCCAGTATCTCTGAAGGACTGTTTTGATACCCCATAACAATAGAATACAGGGTATGCTACAAAATAATCCAATTCCAAGTCTGTAACCAGCAGTCCACCTACCATTCTGCTTTTGCTTGTGTATAAATAACAAAGAAACCCTGACTGTAGCTATTTAGCCAGCTCTAAATATCTTGGTACCTCAGTAGATAAACAGAATGAAAGAAAAAAACTCTCTCGTTTTCTTTTTATCTAGATGGTCCCCCTCACCATAGTATGTGAACTGACCACAGAGAAACTCGTTTAGCCTGAAATTTTAATGCATTCGTCCCATTAATAAAAGATTGTCTTCATAGCTGCATCTATTCATATTCTTTGTTTGTGTTACCAGTATAATTCAGTTGTTTATTCTATGATGTTATGTTTCATATTTTCAGATGTATGCTCTCTCCTACAATTTCTGGTGTAACAAAACTATTTTTATATGATAAGGCACACTCATCCTTGGTGTTCAGGAGCAGGAAGGAGAGGGATCAAATCTTTAACTGACGCAGGACTTTAAAAAGTCCAACCTCCCATAATTTGAATGATTTGTCCTCTTCCTGGTAGTGTTTTCTCTGTTTTTGTATTCATCTCTTTAGCTGATAAATTGTGATGTAATTAATGGGGTTGTGTTTTTTATAACTTTTTCAGAATGACATAATTGAATTGTATATTTACCTATGGGCATTTTTTTTAATTTAAAATGGATTTTATTATAAAAATACTGTGGAACTGTATATTATAATGGACTATTCTCTATCTTCATGTAAATGTAACACTTTTAAAATAGACTGGAACAGCTATCTGATTAGTATTCTTGTTTGTCAGCATTTCCTTCATTAACCTCTACCAAAATATGCCAAAGTAATGCTGAAACTGATGCTATATCCTCTGCTCAGGGTGTGATGTGATGTAATATCTAGGCATATGGGCCCCCACTCCCTTTGTCATTGCTGCTACAGGAAGCTGCAATAGCCTGCAGTAGTATTTGTACATGTGATAGTGAGGATAATAGATCAAATCTACTAACTCCGCACCTGCTCCAGACACTTCCTCTATGGAGTGGAGCCCAGGAAACTATATGTGGGTATCCTACCCCATATGAGAGCACCCCTTATACTTCTCACAAGAACCACATTGTTTCTTCTTCAAGTAGGGCTGTTTATACCCACAGAGGAGACAAGAGGGATGTGTTTGTCTGACAGCTGCCATCTTTGTCTTCACCTCTGAGCTTGTCCTGAGTGTCTGAGGCCCACAGTTGTTTGAATCCCAAATGTGGCCCCACTTAGGATAGCTGCCATCTTGGGCAATGTAGCAAAGGTTGAACTGTGGACCTGAGGCACTAAAGAGCTCTAGCTCTTTAATGGGGCCTGTAACAGACTCCTCCTCTGTGGACTGGACACCAAGGAGGACCTGTAGCACACATGCACCAGTAGGCTACACTTGCTCCTAGATACAGATTACATGGGAATACGACTCAACTGTCAAATACAGTTAAAAATCTGTCTTCCCCAAAGGCATTCTTTTAGAATGCATGTCATAGTGTTTGAGGCAAAAAATAAACTAGGAATAACACTAATACTGATCTGGTAGTGGAAAGACTCTCATATTCCATAGGATGTTCAAAAAAGATGCACTGCACTTTTTTCTCATCTGTTTAAAAAAATTGAACACCTTATGAGTAGTCTTAGTCAAAATGTTATTGTTTCAAAAGCTCAGAGAGGCTTTAATAGCTCTTTCTACAATAAATGCAGCTTAAACATTTTTTCTTAGGAACAGTGGTCTACATTTAATGGAGGTGCTTATACATTATTTATTGATTTTTCCTTCACTTTGGCAGAAGTGATGGAACAATTGCATAGTATTGCCATGGATTATCTTTGCAGTACACAAAATTAATCAAATTGGAACAGATATGCAGATGCTCTTTGTAAGTAGTCATCTAATGCACACTTCAAGTGGATGGACATCTATTGGAGCAGTAAAGAAAGGTACTAAAGCCCCTACCTAGTCACTTCATGAGCTGATGCCCAGCTACAGTGTGTATCACCATCATACAAAGCATAAGCCACTTTCCCCGTATTGATTCCTTTTGCTACACAGAGGGGTTGTGCTAACGCTGATATCTCCCACCAGGCTTCTGAACAGAGTGAGTCATTTTGGTTTCAGGTGTGATGCATTGTCTGCACTCAACTACAGTGTGTTTCTGTCCCTGAAATTCTTTGGTACAGTACTTGCTAATCATTGTCTTGGCCAACACGTGACAGACCACCGAAAGGGAGTCCTTTATTTCCTAACAAAGCACTTTCCTTCGGTGAGGTGTCTTTGTGTGGGAGTAATCCTGTATTAGCACAGACTGATGAATAGGGAGAAAAGCAGGAGGTATGTACCAAAAAGAGTTCTTCAAAATTCACTTTTTTAAAAAAGAGCAACATTCATTATTCTGAGTGTCACTGTCAGTAAAAAAAAAAAAAATAGAGCTCTGCAAACAGTTTGACTCAACGTGCCAAAGTGCTTTTATGCACATTTCACTTCATCTGCAAACCAGCAACAATTTATTTTCACTTTTAGCCAGGAAGTGACCTTATAATTATTATTAATATTACTGTAGCACTAAGAGACCTCAGCAAAGATCAGGGCCTCATTGTTTTTTACAAACATAGTGAGAGACAGTCTGTGTCCAGAAGAGATTATGATCTAAATAGGCAAGACAAACAAAGGGTTTGAAAGGAGGGAAGAGGCACAGAGAAGTCACAGAGCAGAGCAAGCAATAGAACCTAGTCTCTCTGCTCCCAAGCCAATGCTTTGGCCCGTAGACAACAGTGCCTCTCAAGAAAGCACTTTGCTCACTCAAGCCAATGAGTGTGCCAATAACTTGGATTATAGGCTTGCTTTTTGCTGGATCTGTTCAAGCTTCTGGTGGTGGTCCGTTTCCAGCTGAACCCAGTTCTGTTAGGCATGTGGGGCATGTCACATGGTGGAAGGCACATGGTATTCTCTTGTTTCACTGGTTTCAGAGTAGCAGCCGTGTTAGTCTGTATCCGCAAAAAGAAGAACAGGAGTACTTGTGGCACCTTAGGTGCCACAAGTACTCCTGTTCTTCTTCTTGTTTCACGGAATGACTTAGCCTAATAAAGGAATCAGGAGGTCACACCACATCAGCAGAAGCTATTTGCAGATGGTGTCTCAAAGAGAAAAAGTGACATTTTTATCTGAGCTAGTTGGAATAACCAAATGGTGTCAAAACTGCTGTCACCAGTTCTGAATTTGGTCTCCGTGTCCATTTGCTCAATGGTGTGGACCAGATCATACAACCTAGCCCTTATAGGTTGCCTAGCGTTGTTAGTATGATGTCAGTTTGGCATTTACTATGGAATAGTTTCAGTTTGTCACCACTGCGGCATGTTGTCCTCAAGGGTGCAATGACCTCACCACAGCAATAACAGTTTTGTGCTCATATATAGTGGGGGAAAGGAGCACTTTAAACGTGCCTTGCCCATTCGAAGGGAGCATATGCGTATTTGGTATTTGCTACAGCTGATTTCTGAAAAGTCATGCCTACTTTTTCCATGCCCTGAACGAACCATAAGCTGTCACTGAGCACTTCATTATGCCTTCCCTGGTCCCCATCTGCTCATAACTGGAACGTGGGCCATAGGGTAGCACCTTTCTTAGTGTAACAGGCACTCAGTTTTGAGATGGGAGGGGGGGTAAGTGCACCTTCTTTGTCAAAAAGCAAGACGTGCAACAGAGGAATTCATGCACCATTAGGTCTCAAGCTTGGATATTTGCCTGGATTAATAAGTCATATGTGTCTGGTTCCTATTGCCTGATTATTTTATATGACTCTGATTTCATTCCTCTAGCAAGAAATACAAGGACCGTGAACCAGCCGATTACCACGTAAGCCCTGGGTGGAGGCTAAACTGCAACTTAAGTAAGTGGTTCATTGCCTTTGTGCTGGGTTTTTGCAAGGGGAAGAATTTTCCTCATAGTTCTTAGTGGTTGATTTGTTACCTGCTTCTGATGTTTTACAGAAATAGGGCTGGAAGGGGGCTGGAGAGATTTTCAAGTCCAGACCCCCCGCTACACTCCTCCCTGCCCCACCCCCAAAGCAGCACCAAGTAAGTCTAGACCAGCCCTGACCCCTGTTTGTCAAACCTGTTCTTAAAAACTTCGAGTGCTTGGGCTTCCACAACCACTCTTTGAAGCCCATTCAAGAACTTAACTACACTTACAGTTAGCTTTTTTCCTAATATCTAATCTAATTTTTCACCTTTTAGATTATAGTGCTCTGTGGAATAAGAGGCTAAAATGTATCAGTTTAGAAGTCTATTTGTTACCCCCTGAAAAAGACTTAGCTTTTCATCCTGATGTATGCAGGACTTTTGCAATCAAAACTTTGATTATCTTATCAAATGATGCAATATTACCAGTTCTGCTGGCTCAATAATACATTTTAATGGTTTGTTTATGTGCATGGGATGGCCCCCCAAACTGCACACAACTTCATCTTTACTATTGAATGTATAAATAAATAGAGAGCGACTAAATGTCTTTACTTGTGTTAGGCTTTATTTTGCAATGTAGCTGTAGGCCATGGCATGTTGTTGTTTCTGCACTTCACTTAGCTGATTATTTGCCTTTTGTATTTAAAGAGAAAAAAAGTTGTTAAAATGCCTGGCTAGATTCTGCTACTGTAATTCAGGGGACCAAGAATAAAAGGTCTGTTGCAAATGGGTTACAGAGGCACATGCAACCCGCACTCCGGGGATGGGCACAATACCAAGTACTGCAGTCCCCACAATGGGTTAGAAGTCTGGAGAGCGGATGTAGTGAGGGTGACCAAGGGGTATACATTCACCAAGCAGTCTTGGCTGGTTAGAGTCCGGTGGAGCCTTGCCTGCAATTTAAAGTTGACTGACTTGTTGAAACGTCTAAGAGAATAGCAGTTCTAGCACTGCCTGCCATCCATGCCCCAGGGATGAATGTCTCTTCAGTTACAACGCCCCAAGACTGATGCTCTTTTGCAATCTTCCTATGTGAGCAAAGGCAAATGAAGCCAATATGTTTTACATGAAGAGTGACAGAAATATTATGTTCACCAGCTTACATGCAACAATCAGAAAAAGACTAATGCAAACCCAATCCCCTCCCTCTTTCCTTTGTTAGGACCACATCTTCAGCTGATGTAAGTTGACATAGTTCCACAAACTTCAACTGATATCAGCTCAGGATCTGGTCTGTAGGGCCTGACCTCAAATCCACAGAAGTCAGCTCAATGACTTCCATTGTCTTCCTTGGGCTTTGCATCAGGCCCTTAACTTGGAGGGCTATAAAAATTGTGAGGAATGTTGAACCAAAATTTAACCGCTTCAGTTAGCCTTAGCCTTCACTCCCTAAGCCTTAATTTAGAGCTTTGATCTATTGATCCATTGAACTGATAATTTTAGTCATGTCTCTTTTTTTACTATCCCTTAGATTTTGAATAATAATCCTGTTCTCTCTCTCTCTCTCTCTCAATTCCCGTCAACTTCTACACCAACTGCCTTTGCTTTTCAAGCTCTTACTTGGGAACTTGAGTCCTTGGAGTTTTGCAGCGCTGATATCACTTTCCATGGAGAGAAAGCAGTGGGGAAGACCTAACAAGCTGTAACTCCCCTAGGAAAAGTAGCGACATGGACTCCAAAACAAAACTAATCTCAAATAACAGGAGAAGGAAAAAACATTCATGCTAATTAGGGGCCCTGAATTGCAGGATAAAACAATCACATTAGAAAATGTTTTTGTGACTTGAGACAGTATACAAAGAATGTCAAGCTGTTTGCAGATTACAGCTGCTGCTTATAGAGTGAAGGAAAGAAAAAGGGTCTCTGACTACCACTGCCACTTGCATATTGCCAGGCATAATCTTCTGGTAGCAGATACTGAATAATTCCCAGTGTCAACAATTTAAATATTAAAACCAGTTTCATCATGGCAGCTTGTACAAGCTCAGCAGCCTGTCTGTTTACATGCAGCTAGCTTTTTCACAGCTATCAACTTTTTTGTTACTAAACCTCAGAGAAAGGTGGGTTTCTCCCGTAACAACAGAGCAACCGATTAAGAGAGGGTTGTCTGAAGGGTGATAAATATAGTATAGGTTTTCAAACCAGTCATGTACATGTTGGCATTTGCTTACAAAGCAGCTGATCTTGAAACACAAGAGTACATATCATTCATACATGTCCTGTATGGGGCCTTTAAAGACCAATTTGAAAAATGTTGTACATCTGTTTCCAATTAATAACAGAGTAAGCTATCACATAACATCAAGTTAGGGCTTGTGTTACTATTAATAGAAGGGACAGGAGAGTTTCTAGCTTAACAGATGAAGCCATGGCGTTTCACCTCTGGAATCTATGTACTGCACATTCATATGCTAAAGTACCATACACAATTTACATTTTCTAGCAGCAGTTCTTTAGGAGTTACTGAGGCCTGGTCTATACTACACAGTTACATTGACGCAAGGCAGCTTACGTTGACTTGGTAGGCACGTGCACAACTCTCAAATTGGTCTCCCATTTTTAAGCGCCTCATTAAGCAGACTTACTGTACATCCACACTACCCGCTGGATGGGCGGGTAGCGATCAATCTATTGGGGATCGATTTCTCGCATATCATCTAGACGCGATAAATCGATCCCTGAACACGCTCCCCATCGACTCCGGAACTCCACCAGGGTGAGAGGCGGAAGCGGAGTTGACGGGGAAGCCGCGGCCGTCAATCCCGTGCCGTGAGGACGGGAGGTAAGTCGATCTAAGATGCGTCGACTTCAGCTACGCTATTCTCGTAGCTGAAGTTGCATATCTTAGATCGATTTCCCCCCCCCCCCAGTGTGGACTAGGCCCATAGTAACACAACCTTCCTGAGCAGTGTAGAGCTTTGGTTGATGCACTTAGGGTCACCATAAGTAACACATTATCTACACTTGCACTGCGTTGACCTAACTGTCCTTGAGCATCTGTCTCACAATGCCCACACTGACTGCGCTGGTCACCATTGTGAACTGCACTGTCCAGGGGTCACAGAGACCAGAAGATGCCCCCACACACACCCTATAAAGTCCTGTAGATCTTTCAATGCCTTCTCCTGGTTGTCCAGCTTGGGAAGCACACATAACAGCACATTGTTGAGTGCAACTGCCCAGCTGACCATGACGTAGACAGGAGAGATTGGATCTCCTGGACCTGTGGAGGGAAGAGGTTGTGTAGGCACATCTCTGAACCAGCTGTACAAACAGCATCTACAAGCAGATTGCTCAGGGGTTGCAGGAGAAGGGGTATGGCAGGGACCAGCAGCAGCGCCATGTGCAAGCCAAGGAGCTGCAGCAGGCATACCAGAGGACAAAGGAGGCCAACAATCAAGCCCGCACTTTTACAAAGAGCTGCATGCCATTTTTGACAGAGACACCCCACCCCCATACCTGAGACACAGGCCCCTGCCATGGACAGCGAGGAGGAGGAGGGACAGACAACTAGGGGATCCAGCTGCGCAGTGGGCCAGGACATGCTTTTAACTCAACTGCAGTCCGGCAAGTTCCACCAGTTAAGCATGGGTGAGCCTGATGCAGGAGAGGGAATTTCGAGGGAGTAGAGGGTAGATTAATTTTCAGTTACAGGTGTGGCCCCTACAAAATAGCGGGACACATCTTTTGTCTTTTCATTAAATATACTCACACTAGAAGAGGTAGTGGTCCAATTAAGAGAAGTAGAGTTGCTGTCTGCTTTCCATTGCCCTCTAGAGTTAGGAATCCTCTGCCCAAGGTGTCTAGGGAGGGCTGCCTTATTTCTTCCTCTGCTGTAGGACACTTTCCCACACCACTAACCTCATCAGGCACCATTGCAGTACACAAGCGAGCAGCACACAGGCCTGGGCAGCCAGCAGTAGGTGGCCTCTCTCTGCCTTTGTTACCCTCAGGAGTGAGATACCAGCTAAAATCACCACAGCCTATGGTTCAGTGCCTGGACAGTGCTGGGTTTACAATGGCGCCAGTGGCTCCATGGAGTCGGGCCCATGCTCAGAAGGGGCCCTGGCCTGCTCTGCTTGCACTGTGCCGTGAGCCCCCACCAGACCCCCCCAACTCCACCCACCACTTGCTCCTCTTGGTCTACCCACCAGCCGGTTGAGGGCTCCTCTCCACCCCCTAGCCCCACCCTCCAACTTCTTGCCAGCAAGTTAAAGAAGTATGGGCTGGATGAATGGACTATTAGGTGGATAGAAAGCTGACTAGATTGTCGGGCTCAACGGCCCCATGTCTAGTTGGCAGCCGGTATCAAGCGGAGTGCCCCAGGGGTTGGTCCTGGGCCGTGTTCCAGCTAATTTTCCCCACCCATTTGCAGAATTAATTTTGTTATGTGCACCAATATAGAGGCGATATGTGAGGTTTGCGGTGCAGGGGTGTGAGGACTCCAGCTAGGGGTGCGGGCTCTGGGGGTGGGGCTGGGGATGAGGGGTTTGGGGTGCGGGAGGAGGCTCTGGGGCTAAGGCATGGAGAGAGGACCCCCCACACACACCTCCCCCAGCTCTCTTGCCCCTCAGCAACACCTGGGCTGTGAGGGAGAGGTTCCTTTCCCCGCAGCAGCAGCAGCTCCGGGGTTGGGGCTGCAGGATAGGTGCCCCTTCCCTGGCCCTGGCAGGTCCAGGCCGGGGCTGGATTCAGGCTTGGGGAGGAGTGCTCCAGCTGTGCCTGGGGCCGCGCCGCCCTGGGCACGCCTGGGCCGCTCCGGCCGCACGTGGGTCCACACCACCCTGGCTGCACCTGGGTCTGGGCTGGGCCAGGCCGCTCTGTTCATGCTTGGGTCTGCACTGCCCTGAGCCGCGCCTGGGTCCGGGCTGGGCCGGGCCGCTCCTGGCTCCAGGCCATGGGGTTGGGGGAGAGGCACCCCTCTCCCGGCTGGTCCCCAGCTACAGCCGGTCCCTAGGCAGGTTCCCTGAGCACCTGTGTGGCGCTAAAGAGACTGATACGTGGCCGCGCAGCTTACCGGGAACTTACGTCTTGGGGTCAGTTTTGTTCAACATCTTCATTAATGATCTGGATGATGGGGTGGATTGTACCCTCGGCAAGTTTGCGGATGACACTAACCTGGAGGGGGGGGTGAGGTAGATGCGCTGGAGGGTAGGGATAGGGTCCAGAGTGACCTAGACAAATTGGAGGATTGGGCCAAAAGAAATCTGATGAGGCTCAACAAGGACAAGGCCAAAGTCCTGCACTTAGGATGGAAAAATCCCATGCACCACTCCAGGCTGGGGACCGACTGGTTAAGCAGCAGGTTCTGCAGAACAGGACCTGGGCATTACAGTGGATGAGCAGCTGGCTATGAGTCAAGAAGACTAATGGCATATTGGGCTGCATTAGTAGGGGCATTGCCAGCAGATTGAGGGATGTGATCATTCCCCTCTATTTGACACTGGTGGCGCCACATCTGGAGTAGTGTGTCCAGTTTTGGTTCCCCCCACCCCCACCATCACTGAAAGGATGTGGACAAATTGAAGAGAGTCCAGCAGAGGGCAATGAAAACGATTAGGGGGCTGGGGCACATGACTTATGAGGAGCTTCTAAGGGATCTGGGGTTATTTAGTCTGCAGAAGAGAAGAGGGGGGGGGGGAATTTGATATCAGCCTTCAACTACCTGAAGGGGGTTCCAAAGAGGATGGAGCTAGGCTGTTCTCAGTGGTGGCAGATGACGGAGCAATGGTCTCAAGTTGCAGTGCGGGAGGTCTAGGTTGAATATTAGGAAAAACTATTTCACTAGGAGGATGGTGAAGCACTGGAATGGGTTACCTAGGGAGGTGGTGGAATCTCAATCCATAGAGGTTTTTAACGCCTGGCTTGACAAAGCCCTGGCTGGGACAATTTAGTTGGGATTGTTCCTGCTTTGAGGAGAGGGTTGGACTAGCTGACCTCCTGAGGTCTCTTCCAACTCTCATCTTCTCTGATTCTCTCTGCTCCCTGGCCAGATCCCCAGTGCACCCCCAGCTCCGGGCAGTCTCTGTTTCCCACCACCTGTGCGACCCCTCCTGTCTCCCTGGAGCTGAGCTGCCTGGGACTGGTGCAGAAGCTGGCCAATCTCAGCCAGTTGATTGGGGGCAGTGTGGGGGGGGAGGCTGGGTCCTTCCAGGCAAGTGGGTCCTGAGGGAGTCTGGCTGGGGCAGGCTCTGGCCTGGCTGATCATGCCAGTCCTGGGGAGCTGGAGTGATTCTCTGCCCCAGGACCAGCCCTGGCTGCACTAGCAGCTCAACCTAGCAGACACAGTCGCCTCCCAGCAGGGCCAATGAGTGTGGCCGGGAGGCAGGGCATGGGGGAGTGGGTCTCTGGGGAACCTGGGGGCGGGTGCTGGCCTATGAGAGAGCGGGGAAGATCTGTGTGTTGGGGCTCTGGGGAGTGGGGATTCTGGGCAGTTATGGGGCTGTGGGCAGGGGGACACAGGACAGGGGTGGTGGTGTGCAGGGTGCTGTGCATTTGTGGTAGGGTTGGGGGGGCTCTGGATCCAAGGGGGCTCTGGCCATAGGAAAGTCGGGGGGGGGGGGGGCGGAACATGGCCACTGTGCGTCTTGCCACTGCCGGTTTGTAAATAGTGCCCTCGCACTGGGCTGGACGGAGTGGGGCTGCCCCTGCCCTGCCATGCCATACCCCTGGCCAGGCACTCGCTCTGGGGGCCGCCCCCCCCTGCACCATGCTCCATTGCCCCCATAGGGGCCCACAAAAGGTTAATCTGGCCCTGCCTCTACTAGAATCATGCAACCGATCAATTCCTTCTTTATTTCCTCAACCGCAGGCAGGCCTGACTCACCGTGGCTAATGCTGGGACTGGTGCCATGTTCCAGCAGTCCCAAGCAGAAGTGAGAATGGAGTGCTTAAAACTAGAGCGGAGCAAGGAGAGCGAGTTTGGCATCCTAAGTTTCACTGTCTGTAATGCATATGCTGACACTGGTACCTATGTGATTTTTATCTTCAGCTGCTGCCACCCCAGCCTCCAGGGTTTCCCCCTCCACACCTGTGGAAGCCCTGAGCCAGATAAGGAGGAGGGAGAAGGGGATGCCGAGTTCAAAGAGATCCTGCAAACCAGTGGTGCATCAGACCATGAGCATGGGACCTGGAGGGTGCCCACTGCAGACACCCCAACAAAAGAAAGACCAGAGAGGAGAAAGGCCCAGCAGGAAAATGAGATGATGCACCAGGACATAATGGGGCTGCTTAGGCAGTTGGTGGTGCTGCA